GCTATTAGATGATAATAACAGCCATGTCTTCACTCTAACAGATATTTTTCTTCAAAACCTTGTCCCCATCGTGTTGTTTCACTACCACTCCGCGAATAGCTAAAGTTACAAGTTCATTTAAAATAATACCGGCAATTGATTCTGACTGTGAAACACAGGACTTTGCCTACTGCTACAACACCAGTCAACCAGAGGCTTTTACTGCCATGACACGGAGTTCCCATAGACTCTGAGGTCATAGATGGAGCCTATGTTTATCAAGGAAAATATCAGCTTGTAAAACATTATTGCTACTACATATCATACACCATTTGAAAGGTCTAAACCTACTGTTGATAACTATGAAATTTATTTTTGATCATATTATTCAAATAATCCAATTATAACGTAAACAATTTAATTTTTAATGAAAATGCAAGCTTAAAAATTTATAATGTCCAGATAAACCACGAAGGGAGCAAAAATGCGGCAATTTTTCCATTTGTTACATGTCATAATATCCCCTTACCTTTTTCTTATATATTTTCATTTTTACCTTGTCGGAAAATTATTTTAAAAAGATTTCTCAAATAATATGTATGGTCGTCTATTTCCCGATATCAGTGACTTTCCAATCGGTAACGTGATACAACAGCAGGAAATACCTCGGTTTTCCAAGCTTCGTATGAATAACATGTGAGGCAATTCGTTTGATGGCGGGTATCGTTCGAAAGCTCTGAACATCCACAATATCACTGTACACTTGCCAAGAGTATTTTCACAGTTGTAAGAAGCGATTTTATTGGATAAAAATTGGTTTCTAATGACGCTTTTTCGCCACAGTCTGATATAAGCATTGTGATTGGTCAAAATCGTACCCGTAACCTAAGGCAGCCAGTCATATTACAGCAATGGATATCGTCCTCGTAAACGACAACTAATGATTCAGACGAAACTTTTGGGTAAAATCAGGCTATTCTGAAAGTGTTACGCAATAAATCACAACCTATATGTATATTATGGAGCTTAGTGGACGCATCGTGCTAGGTTATGACCTGTGACAAAAATGCTTCAAGCATATATTTTTAGCATTAAACATCGTGTCCGAGCGTGAAGTTCGAGGCGACGAAAGCCGAGAAGTCACTTGAATTACAATACACGATCGCTCAAAAAGATGGAAATAGTAAGTCATTATGTACGTTTGACAACTTTTATGAATAGTGTTGTTGATTATATTCTTCAGTTTAATTAGTTTGTTTAATTATTTTCTCGAAACATCGTTAGTTTGCTCTTGACAACTTTGCTGTAGACCCTTGCCGAAGCATGTGTCCGAGAATTGTTTTTTTTCAATAACATTACGAAAAATAGTTTATAGTTCTAATCCTGTCGATAATATATGGACATTTGAAATTTAATAAGCTTTTTCAGACATTGTGAAAAGTGATAGATTTGATAAAAGAATCATATGTTAGTTAGGTTCCTAATATTATATATCATTTTGATGTGATCACTGCCTGGCCGGTTTACCGGCTACGGTGTTGGACTCATGACGTCTTGGCCGTTTTTCCGGCCTACGGTGTTGAATGGGATTAATGCATTTAGCAGGCCTCTAATGAAGTTTTTTTCTGTTTGTAAAGCTTAAAAAACTAGATATTTTGCTTTGAGTGTGTGGAAGCTTTCAACAACACTTGCTCACCCTCATCGATTTGTTTACAGAAAGAAAACAGCTATTTGATTGGTCCTTATTTAAAGATGGACCAATCAGTGAAGGGTTAAGAAACTGCGATTGGTAGTCTATCTCTGTTGCACATTTAAATTGCGTTTAGAATTATTCAAGACTTTTTTAATCGCGAATATTTAGAGATGGAAAAACATTAAGTTCGATTGGCTTGAATGATACGATACGCAACATGATTTTGATGTATTGGGTAAATACGCATTGTTATTTTGACGTAGCGTAAACGTAAATATTTCGTGTTTTTTCATACGCTGGCAATTATTTTTCTTGCGTATTTCAACTTTTCTATAGCGTATTTTACGCAAATGTGCAGCTTATCTGGAGCTCTGTCTACATGCTCTAAAAACGTCCTTGATAAGGGAGCACATTCCCGACAACGTTTGCTCCAGGAACACAGGTCAATACAACCCACACATGACGAGTGGGGATCCGAGGAAGTAAATATTGTTACAGTGTGTGCAAAATTACGCTACTTAGTCTAGACTGACAAGACGGGATATCCTGATTCACCTGAGGTGAATGAGACCGACTACGAGAATCACTCTGTGACAAAACCATAATGGGCTAGGTGTAGGATCGAAATGGCCAACCACTTCGACCAGGTGAGACTGAGCGACTCACGTGAATCAAAAAACGCTGTGGTGAATTGATTCGACTATGAGATGGTGAGTCGAACTGAAACCTATGTTGAGGTGAACTGAGTGAATGTGAACCGGTTCGTCCTGGTGAACTCATTCGATTACGTGAATCAGTTCCGTCAGGTGAACCCATTCGATTGATTGCAGTCTGGTGAGCCGCCGACGGCAGAGTGAGCTGGCTCGGGAATGTGAACCGGTTCGTCCTGGTGAACCCATTCGATTCACGTGAATCAGTTCGGTCAGGTGAGCCGGTTCGGCTGAGTGAACTTCGTTCGACCTTTGGCTGCACGGCTAGGTGGTGAAGCGAATCACGGTGGTGAATCGGTTGGGACTGGTACATTGGAAAGGACGACAAGAGCTCGAAATGTGAGCGAGATCTAGAACGACTCCTCCCAGCAGTAGAAGAACGCATTCAAACCTTCGCACCAGATGGTGACTCAACTTCGTGTGGGTGAATTGTTTCGGTGGGAAAACCGTAGGAGAAGAAGCGGTTACGTTCCAACCGCGCCGATCCCTGCTTCGATGATGAATGCTTGGACTTAGAAGTTCTCGAAGTCTGTGAACTTTCCGAAGAAACGGATCTACGAGATAAGGTAGATCGCAGGTCTTGCGTAGAGGAAATATCAGTCATTACCACCCTGGCATGCCCATGAGAACTTTTAACGTTCTCAGACAAATAGGAATCCGACGAAGCGTCCATAAAATCCTCGTCAAGAGAGACGGGCGATTTAGAACGGTGAGCAGGGAGGGTGGGGCGATCTAAACATTGTTTCTTAGCGGGAGATGGACCAAACCCCGCAGAAGCATTCCTAGCCCTATCTGCCAAACGTCTGGCACAAGCACGTTTGTAAGATTTAAAAGCCTCATTAGACAGTCCTGAACACTTAGGACAACGTGTGTCCCAATCACAACAACCCACACAATCAACACACGATGTGTGTGGGTCCCAAGCTGAAAAGACTTTATTACAACGGGCGCAAAACTTTCGTTTACTGGCCTGAACAGGCTTATCCATTTTGAGCAATTCTCAGCCGAAAAAATTTTCACGTCCACTCTGTGGAGCGACAAGAAAGAGAATGAGTATGGAAGGTGATCACGCGGGTGAGGACTCGCGATGCCACGTGCTGTCACAGCCTAGTGAGCATGGCTAAGGCAGGAAGGCATGCACAGCACGGGGACAGGGACAAGGAAGGCCTGGAGCAAAAGTTTAATGGCTTCCACTCATGGTCGAATGAAGAGAGAGAGGTGCAAGTCGTGAGATAGGATAAGTTTAAAAATTTCATTATATTCAGCTTTTGAAATATGAGTGTCAACTGTTCAATGGTTTGAGGAGCCTGTGATTCAATATGTAATCATCACACATGTGTACCTTTGATTGTTCTGGAAATACAGGAAGGTTTGTCTTGTTTTGGTCCATGTTGTCAATGATGAGGGACACATACTTAGATGGTTACCTCTTTGCCTTGTCCCCATGTTTGTAATATTTCTCTCGAAGTAGCCTGCAAACACAAAACATTTAAAATATGAAAACTACAGAATACAGACAGACAGACATACAGACATACACTGAACTCCAAACAACCACAAAGCAGTGAGTGGCCCTTTTGTGAGTTGCTAATATTATTTCCTCATATTTGATATCTTGTGATGTGAAATCCATTTCTCAAACTACATTTTCATTAAATTCATTCATTATTACAGAAATAACAAACCTTTGCAAAGCTAAGTGTCCCTGTTTTGCTTCTTTCAAGGCCTTGACTTCTTCCTTTGCCAAGTTCTTTCTTTGTAGTGCATCTTTATACAAGATGGAACCAGTAGAGTCAAGAACATAGAATCTTTTCAGAAGGGACGTTCTCTGGCAACTGAAGTCAGAATGATATGGAGGACTGTTCGGGGACCTTATATTACCCATCAGAGTCTAAAAATAGAAACACCAGATGTCTGAACATGAGTCATGGGTCTAAATATAGACTCTTCTAAAAATAGAAACAGCAGGTGTTGACATGACTCATGGTCTAAAATAGATTTTGACCCTATAAAATAGTTAGAACAGTCGTTAATATTCCCTTTCTTGTGGATTGGTATGACAGATGATACTTTGCATATACCTGGAAAAACTGATGTTTGAAGCGACTTATTTAGAAGGTTAGTTCATGTGACAAGGAAGATGATGTCAAACGTAAGAAACGGTTTCCAATACCATCTGGTCCCGTCGCCTTGGTAAATTGTTTAACGATGATAACACATTTTCAACATCCTGCTTTGTGACATGTTAATCACTCAAATATTTACTATTCTTGTTATCATGTTTGGAATACCAAAATTTCATAGTGATTCCTAAACACATGCTCTGTCATCGTATAGCATGGTGACAATCACTTGTCTGGTCCAGACTCGATTTGTTCACAGAAAATATCGTACAGCTGCAATACTGCTGAACAAATACTAGTATATGCACATGATAAAGTCACAATTGTTCAATAGACTCTGTTTTTAGCAGAGATTTCTTATAAATGTGGAAAGGGTTTTGTCGCTTCTGTTCGGTGATTATATTTATAGTATATGGTGAGTATGGGATGATAATTATCTCCGTGAACATCTGAGTTACTTGTGGATATCTCTTTCTATATTTTTCATTTGTATTTCCATGTGCTATTTCAGTTGCAGTTTACATCGCTTCAATTCTAGCATCTCCAAATTGCAAAAACTGTCTGTTTGAAAAGTGTGATGAAGACGGAAAATGTACTGACGGGTGTGAACCAGGCTATGCTGATATATACTGTCAACATCCATGTCAGGAGACCTGTTCAAAAGGCAGGTGTATTGTGGACAACCACACAGGAAAGACAATGTGTACAGAGGGGTGTGTTGATGGCTTCTGTTACCCTGCATGTAAGATACCTTGTCCTGAAGGATGTCTACGTTGTGAGCGTATGCTCTGTGAAAACTGTACACTTTGTGAGAGTCACTTGTATGGACAGAGTTGTCAACACTCATGTGATGAGAAGTGTAACGGATATGCATGTAGTATTCAGGGAAACTGCTCAATGGACAAATGTATGGATGGTCGGTACGGCAAACTTTGCAGTAAATCATGTAAACCGAGGTATGAGTCATGTCACCAAGAGAGTGGACAATGCATTAAATGCCGACGAGGGTTATTCGGCGACGACTGCCAGAATCACTGTTCACACGAGTGTCTATCAATGGAAGAAGATGAAATGTTCAGGTGCAGTTCGGGATGCACACTGTGCGAGTTACCGCCTCATACTGATTGTAAGTATTTCAGTTTCATACTTAATTTTGATATCTAATAACATTTTCAAGTATTCTTAAATAGTCTGGATACACATAGACAACTCTATGCTTTAGCAAGAAGATTAAAAAGCATAAAAAGACGAGATAATACATAGATAAAGAAACGATCTCGAGGTGGTTCGTGTAAGCACAAACTACTAACATTGATGTAATGCGCACTGTCGTCAAGCCAATAAATGAGGAATTGTGTCGCAGGCCTCCTCTGAACCATATGAACACATTAAACATATGTATTTGATGAAAAATGTATGTTTCTGTGCGAATGTTTTCTTTGTGTGTTACTGTAGTGTTATAAATATTACTCTAGTGTTGTGAATATTACGGTAGTGTTATAAATATTACTGTAGTGTTATAAATATTACTGTAGATACTGCAGTGTTATGAATATTACTGCAGTGTTATAAATATTACTGTAGCGTTATAAATATTACTGTAGTGTTAGAAATATTACTGCAGTGTTATAAACATTACAGCAATCTTATAAATATTACTGTAGATACTGCAGTTATAAATATTACTGCAGTGTTATATATATATATATATATTACTGTAGTGTTATAAATATTACTGCAGTGTTATGAATATTACTGCAGTGTTATATATATTACTGTAGTGTTATAAATATTACTGTAGTGTTATGAATATTACTGTAGATACTGCAGTGTTATGATGTTACTGCAGTGTTATAAATATTACTGTAGTGTTAGAAATATTACTGCAGTGTTATAAACATTACAGCAATCTTATAAATATTACTGTAGATACTGCAGTTATAAATATTACTGCAGTGTTATATATATATATATATTACTGTAGTGTTATAAATATTACTGCAGTGTTATGAATATTACTGCAGTGTTATGAATATTACTGCAGTGTTATAAATATTACTGTAGTGTTATAAATATTACTGTAGTGTTATGAATATTACTGTAGATACTGCAGTGTTATAAATATTACCGCAGTGTTATCAATATTACTGCAGTGTTTTCAATATTACTGTACATACTGCAGTTTTATACATAATACTGCGGGGTGATCAATATTACTGTAGATACTGCAGTGTTGTTAATAACACTGCAGTGTTATAAATGTTACTGTAGATACTGCAGTGTTATTAATATTACTGCGGTGCTGTAAATTTTACTGCAGTGCTATTAATATTACTGTAGTGTTATAAATATTACTGCAGTGTTGTAAATATTACTCCAGTGTTATAAATATTACTGTAGATACTACAGCGTTATGAATATTACTGCAGTGTTATAAATATTATTGTAGTGTTATAAATATAAATATTACTGCAGTGTTATAAACATTACTGCAATGTTATAAATATTACTGTAGAAACGGCAGTGTTATTATTATGACTGCAGTGTTCTAATTATTACTGTAGTGTTATAAATATTACTGTAATGTTATAAATATTACTGCAGTGTTATAAACATTACTGCAATGTTATAAATAATACTGTAAATATTGCAGTTATAAATATTACTGCAGTGTTATAAATATTACTGTAGATACTACAGTGTTATGAGTATTACTGTAGTGTTATCAATATTACCGTAGTGTTATAAATATTACCGTAGTGTTGTAAATATTACTGCAGTGTTGTAAATATTACTGCAGTGTTATTAATATTACTGTAGATACTGCATTGTTGTAAATATTACTGCTGTGTTATAAATGTTACTGCAGTGTTATTATTATTACTGCAGTGTTATAAAGATTACTGCAGTGTTATTAATATTACTGCAGTGTTATTAATATTATTGCAGTGTTATAAATATTACTGTAGTGTTATAAATATTACTGTAGTGTTGTGAATATTACGGTAGTGTTATAAATATTACCGCAGTGTTATCAATATTACTGTGGTGTTTTAAATATTACTGTAGATACTGCAGTGTTATACATATTACTGCCGTTTGATCAATATTACTGTAGATACTGCAGTGTTATAAATGTTACTGTAGATGCTGCAGTGTTATACATATTACTGCGGTGTGATTAATATTACTGTGGATACTGCAGTGTTGTAAATATTACTGCTGTGTTATAACTATTACTGCAGTGTTATAAATATTACTGTAGTGTTGTAAATATTACGGTAGTGTTATAAATATTAGTGCAGTGTTATAAACATTATTGCAATGTTATAAATATTACTGTAGATACTGCAGAGTTATAAATATTAGTGCAGTGTTGTAAATATTACTGCAGTGTTGTAAATATTACTGCTGTGTTTTAGTTATTACTGCAGTGTTATTAATATTACTGTAGTGTTATGAATATGAATGTAGTGTTATAAATATTACTGCAGTGTTATAAACATTACTGCAATGTTATACATAATACTGTAGATATTGGAGTTATAAATATTACTGCAGTGTTATAAATATTACTGCAGTGTTATAACTATTGCTGCAGTGTTATAAATATTACCGTAGATACTGCAGTGTTATAAATATGACTGCAGTGTTATCAATATTACTGTAGTGTTATAAATATTACTGTAGTGTTATAAATATTACTGCAGTGTTATAAACATTACTGCAATGTTATAAATATGACTATATATTGCAGTTATAAATATTACTGCAGTGTTATTAATATTACTGCAGTGTTATGAATATTATTGCAGTGTTATAAATATTACTGTATTGTTATAAATATTACTGTAGTGTTGTGAATATTACGGTAGTGTTATAAATATTACCGCAGTGTTATCAATATTACTGTGGTGTTTTAAATATTACTGTAGATACTGCAGTGTTATACATATTACTGCGGTTTGATCAATATTACTGTAGATACTGCAGTGTTATGAATGTTACTGTAGATGCTGCAGTGTTGTAAATATTACTGCTGTGTTATAAATATTACTGCAGTGTTATAAATATTACTGTAGTGTTGTAAATATTACGGTAGTGTTATAAATATTAGTGCAGTGTTATAATTATTATTGCAATGTTATAAATATTACTGTAGATACTGCAGAGTTATAAATATTAGTGCAGTGTTGTAAATATTACTGCAGTGTTGTAAATATTACTGCAGTGTTATTGATATTACTGTAGTGTTATGAACATGAATGTAGTGTTATAAATATTACTGCAGTGTTATAAACATTACTGAAATGTTATAAATAATACTGTAGATATTGGAGTTATAAATATTGCTGCAGTGTTATAAATATTACCGTAGATACTGCAGTGTTATAAATATGACTGCAGTGTTATCAATATTACTGTAGTGTTATAAATATTACTGTAGTGGTATAAATATTACTGCAGTGTTATAAACATTACTGCAATGTTATAAATATGACTATATATTGCAGTTATAAATATTACTGCAGTGTTATAAATATTACTGCAGTGTTATAAATATTACTGTAGTGTTATAAATATTACTGCAGTGTTATAAATATTACTGTGGATACTGCAGTGTTATGAATAATAAAGCACTGTTATCAGTATAACTGCAGTGTTATCAATATTACTGTAGTGTTATAAATATTACTGTAGTGTTATAAATATTACTGCAGTGTTATAAACATTACTGCAATGTTATAATTATGACTATATATTGCAGTTATAAATGTTACTGCAGTGTTATAAATATTACTGCAGTGTTATAGATATTACTACAGTGTTATGAATATTACTGCAGTGTTATATATATTACTGTAGTGTTATAAATGTTACTGCAGTGTTATTATTATTACTGCAGTGTTATAAAGATTACTGCAGTGTTTTTAATATTACTGTAGTGTTATAAACATTACAGCAATCTTATAAATATTACTGTAGATACTGCAGTTATAAATATTACTGCAGTGTTATATATACAGTCAAATCCCGATGAGTCGAATCGCTGGGGACCAAGTAATAGATTCGACTTATCGATGTATTCGAGACATAGGTATGTCTATGAGGGTAGAAAAAAAAAGATGATTGAACATTTCCTTTATTGAGCACATCATATCTAAATATAGCACAACAATACATTAGGCGACATAGATAATAGATAATAATGGATAATGGAAACAAACAGTATATAAATGAGAACACATTTCAATACTAGCACTCCGCACTGGTTTGTTCAGTTAGCAACACCAACTAACTTCTCATTGACTGACTTCGGCTTATGTATACAAGATTACTGTTGTTTGAATCTCATGGGACCAATTTTCCATTTCGAGTCATCTCGAGTTATGCATAATATTCGAGACAATCGACATTCGACTCATGTTTTAAATTGACTGCAGTATTATTGTAGTATTACTGTAGTGTTATAAATATAACTGCAGTGTTATGAATATTACTGCAGTGTTATATATATTACTGTAGTGTTATAAATATTACTGTAGTGTTATGAATATTACTGTAGATACTGCAGTGTTATAAATATTACCGCAGTGTTATCAATATTACTGCAGTGTTTTCAATATTACTGTACAAACTGCAGTTTTATACATATTACTGGGGGGTGATCAATATTACTGTAGATACTGCAGTGTTGTAAATAGTACTGCAGTGTTATAAATGTTACTGTAGATACTGTAGTGTTATTAATATTACTGCGGTGTTATAAATATTACTGCAGTGTTATTAATATTACTGTAGTGTTATAAATATTACTGCAGTGTTGTAAATATTACTGCAGTTTTGTAAATATTACTGTAGATACTACAGCGTAATGAATATTACTGCAGTGTTATAAATATTACTGTAGTGTTATAAATATTACTGCAGTGTTATAAACATTACTGCAGTGTTATAAATATTACTGTAGAAACGGCAGTGTTATTAATATTACTGCAGTGTTATAAATATTACTGTAGTGTTATAAATATTACTGCAGTGTTATGAAATATTATAAACATTACCGCAGTGTTATAAAACATTACTGCAGTGTTATAAATAACTACACTTATTGAAGATATTACT